GGGGCAGTCACAGACGGCCAGAGTTCATAGAGGAACAGTGGGGGTGGGGATGGGAATTCAGAATATTCTGGCGGTATTTTCCGTGTGAATCCTTGTGACTTTGGCAAGAGCCATCTCTGTTTCTGCCTTCCGCTTTGAGGTTTACCCCAATACCCTTACCTGCAGACCCCGCCCGGCCCTTCCCCTTGGGTGGCACCAGCCCCCAGTACTGCTCTCTCCCCACATGGCCCTGGACTAAGCCCACCCAGGACTCTGCAGCACGAGGCCAGCCCGGGGCCCTGTGCGCCGCAGCAGGAGAGATATTTTCATTCAGCACTTCCTGTGTGCCTGGCCCTGCTCTCGCCTTTCCATTTATAAACCCACTTCGTTCATGGAACAGTCCTACACAGTGGATGCTGCTTTCATCACCCCACTTTATAGATGAGGGAACTAAGGCACTGAGGTTAAGGAAAGGGCAGTGCCTGGTCTCAGGGCAGCCCGGCCCCAGGATCTGGATCTGTGCCAATTCACCATACAATCTCCCTGTCAGATGAACATATAGATAGGGCTTGGGGTGCCCCTGAGGCTTACCAAGGGTTAGAGGGGCAGAAGCCGTCATATTGGACCCGAGGGGGAAGGGACAGGAGATAGCCGGGAACAGTGTGGCCCTGCCATCGCCCTGGAGAGCCTCGCTCTCTGGAATTTGTCTATATTTAGCAGGTGGTTGGGCAAGAGGCAGATAAGAAATCCTGGGGAGGGGGAGGGCCCATTATATAGTGTGGGGGGACGGGTCCTGCTCAGATCCTCCTTGGGTGGCCTGTGACTGCTCAGATCCTGGTGTGATCTCTCTCAAGATGCCTGAGCCGGGGAAGAAGCCAGGTAGCCGCAGGTCTAGGGTTGGGGCTGAGTGGGGGGCCAGGAGGGCTGGGGCATCTACAACTGGGGGGGTTCCTGAGTGAGTTCCTGAGTTCCTGAGTTCCTGAGAGTGGGGGCTGTCTTCTGGGTCTTTTTCTGATTCTTGGTTTCTCCTTCCCATCCTTCTGATGAGAGTGAGGGTGAACCAGGGCCAGGGGGTACAGAGTGGGCCATCACCCCAGTCTCGGGACAGAAGAAGATCCCTTCCCTATCCCCATCCCATCTCCTTCTGCAGCAAGATTAAGCCTGGGCTTGCCTTTTGGGAAAAGGCTGCCACAGGCAGGGGCCCAAGTTGAGTCTAGACTTGAGCCAGTCTCGCCGAATGCTCTTGGGCAAGCCCTTGCCCTCTCTGGGTCTCAGTTTCCCTATCTGCATAAGGGGGAGTTGAGTTGGCTCTCTCCAGTTGTGATAGTCTCTGCTTTATGAGCCTGCATTCCTGTGGCCCTCACACCTGGTGTGAAAATGCCAGTTCTTCTGCTCTGCGAGAGAATGGTCGAGAAGCCCTGATCCTGGGCCAAGGGCAGAGAAAGTCACAGGCCAGGGACTTGGTCCTGGCTTGTGCCCTTACCAAGGTCATTCAGGGCAGGGACCCAGCCCCCCAGCCCCCAGAGCCTCCCAGGCCAGCTTTATCTCAGTTGCTGATTCTCAGCCTGAGGCCCTTGGAGAACAAATTTAGCCACAATTCAAGTGGACAGAGTACCTGCCCCTTGCCAAGGGCCCCAGATGGTGGGGGAGAGAGGGAGTTGGGCTTCCCCAGGAAGGAAGGGTCAGGTGTCCAAGGACATACCTAACAAAATTCTTGTGTGGAGGTTAGGACCACGGCCCTGGCTCTTCTGCCTACTGGCTGTGTGATGTTGGATAAGTCACTTGAACTCTCTGAGCCTCAGTGTCCGCATATGAGCAATGGGCATAATAATTGCATCTGTCTCATAGAGCCACTGAAGCATTAAATGAGGCGATGCATTAAAGTGCTTTAGGAAGAAGGGATGCAGGGGTGGGGTGCCTGGGCCAGCCAGTGGCTCCTGCAACCTCCATTGGCCTATCTCAGTCTCAGCCTTCAGCAAGAAGCCAAGGTCAGTGGAGGTGGCAGCCAGCAGCCCTGCTGTGTTCGAGGCCGAGACAGAGCGGTCAGGAGTAAAGGTGCGCTGGCAGCGGGGGGGCAGTGACATCAGCGCCAGTGACAAGTATGGCCTAGCAGCCGAGGGCACGAGGCACACTCTGACAGTGCGGGACGTGGGCCCCGCCGACCAGGGACCCTACGCAGTCATCGCTGGCTCCTCCAAGGTCAAGTTTGACCTCAAGGTCATAGAAGCAGGTAAGACCCTGGTCCGCCTTCCCTAGGTTTGAGCTTCTGGGGCAGCCTGGCCATCTCTCCCTCACCCAGGGTATAGGAGGAGCCTTTCCACTTTCTTGCCTTTGCTTTGGCTGAGCCGTCTGCCAGGAATTCCCTTCCTCCCTTTTCTGCAGCAAGACCTCACTGAGTGTCCCCATGTGTCTCCCTGGCCTGTTCCAGTCATTGTGGAAGTAGGGAAAGTTCTGAGATGGATAAGGCACCATGCAGCCCTCCCTCCAGATGCCTTCTCACAGATGGGGACTCGGTGGGCTGCGTGCGCTGGCAGGGAAGCCCCTGGTTGCTGCGGGTGTGGAGGGACCCCCTGGGGAAAGGAGGGGGGAACGGAGCCCACAGCCTCCCGGGCTGACCCACCAGGGCGTGGGAGCGCAGTCTGCGAGGGTGAGGAGGCCAGATGCGCGCACTGCAGTATGTGACCAGCCTGCAAAGATTGAGGGGGACCAGGGGCAAGAGGAGGGCTCTCTGCTTAGAAGCTGCTCCACGACCCCCCACCCTTTCCCTTCCAGAGAAAGCAGAGCCTGTGCCGGGCCCTGCTCCTGCCCCTACTGAGGCTCCTGGAGGCTCCGGAGAAGCACTGGCCTCGACCACTGAGGAGGAAGGAGGCTCCCCAAGTCCCAAAGGTGAGCCGGTGCAGGGAGGGCGGTGCAGGGACGGTGAAGGCCAGCGGATGGGGTGTCCCAAGGCAGGTCACAAAGGCCTCTGCTCACAGGGTCAAGCTCAGCAGCCCCCGATGGCTCTGGTGCCTCTGATGACCCCATCGGCCTCTTCATAATGCGGCCACAGGATGGTGAGGTGACTGCAGGTGAGTGTGGGCTGCGGCACCCCGGGGCAGGGGCAGGGCACAGCAGGGCACCCGCCCAGGCCCAGCCTGTCGCCCTTTCCCTGCAGGTGGCAGCATCACCTTCTCAGCCCGCGTGGCCGGCGCCAGCCTTCTGAAACCGCCCACAGTCAAGTGGTTCAAGGGCAAGTGGGTGGACCTGAGCAGCAAGGTGGGCCAACACCTGCAGCTGCACAACAGTTACGACCGGACCAGCAAGGTGGGGCCTGCGGGCACGGCATGGTTCAGGGGCCCCCTGGAAAGAGGGCTTGGGAGCCCCTGGGAGGCACCGCGGGCACAGGGGAGCCTGGGGGTCACCCTGAGACTGAAGGCACACAGGAGGTGCAAAAACGAGACCTAGGGAAGTTGGGAAGCAGGTTGGATAGCCAGGGGCACCCGGGGACAATGCGGAGGCCCAGGAGACCTGTGGGACATGCGGGGCTTGGAGGGCATGACAGTCTTAAGGGGGCATAATAAAACTTGTGGAGGCAGGGGGCCCAGGAAGGCTGAGGGACCTCATGAAGCATGGGGGCAGGTGGCATCAGCCAGTGAAGATGTGAACCCTCTGGATGGATGAGTATTGGAGCTCAAGGGGCCCTTCATTATACAAAGAAACTGAAGCTTGAGAGGTTGTTGTGGCTGGTCTGATGTCACTCAGAGCCAGGCCTAGAACCTGTGCTTTGACTCCCAGCTTCTGCTCCTCCCACTCTTCCACAGTCTTGGCCCAGGCAAAGGCTCCTCTGGCAGGGCAGGGCCAACACGTTCAGTTGTGTGGGTTGTGCACTGCACAAAAGTGCCTTGTCTTAAGTGAAGGTCATTTGCCTCGTAGCCATCACAGATGTATATTTTATTACCACCTTGTGCCAGCAGATGGCAGTCATGTGTCTTGAAAAGGGGCTCTTTTTCCTATTTACACAAAACCCTTACCCACAGGTTAACTAAACCCTGAGGGGTGAAAATGTTGGTGGCCATTAGCCACTCCCAGTCTCCTTTAGGAGTGAAGGGCCTTCTCTTCCGGTCCCTGGTCTCCCCTGATACCTTCCTTCTACAGGTCTACCTGTTTGAGCTGCACATTACAGATGCCCAGACTACTTTCGCAGGTGGCTACCGCTGTGAGGTTTCCACCAAGGACAAATTTGACAGCTGCAACTTCAGTCTCACTGTCCATGGTGAGGGGAGCCCTGGCGTCCCGGGCTCAGGTCCCCATGGGTCTCATCCCCCACGTCTGCCTCCATTTCCCAACACTAAGGAGGATGCCTAGTCCCAACCGGACAACCGCTGCCCACATGCCCAGTGCTGCTCATGCAGGGGCACGAGAGAAACCCATGGAGGTTCTCAGGGTTGGGGTGGGGTCTGACAGCCAAGTCCAGATCTCACCTGGATGGTGAGATGGTCCAGGCTCCTGGCACAGGTGAACAGGTGAAGGGTGAGCTGGGAGCTGAGTGGGAGATCAGCCACCGCTAAGGGGCTGGGGACCAAAAACTACCCAAACTCCCTGGTACCTCAGTTCTGGAAAGGCTCAGAATGTGGGGTCCTGGGGCAGATGCCCGCTCTCAAGGGTCGTGGATGGGCAGGTCTGTAATACTCGGAGACTCCGGGGTGAGTGAGGCTTCTGGGGTGTGCCCTCTGAAGCCCCTTCCCTGTCTCATCTCCCTCTCTGAACGCAGAGGCCATTGGCCCTGGAGACCTGGACCTCCGATCAGCTTTCCGCCGCACGTGAGTGGTCATCTCTTCTCAGGGACGGCAGGGAGGCCAGTGCTGGGATCTGAAGCCCCTCGGGGTCAGGGCTGGGAATGATGTGGGGGGGGGGCTGTGGGGGGACAGAGCTGAAGTTGATAGTGATGGGGGACAGCAAGCTCCCCCGGGCAGCTGAAGGAACTGGTTCTAACCCCACAGGAGCCTGGCTGGAAGTGGTCGGCGGATCAGGTACCCCTCTCCCAGCCCATGCTTGTCAGACTTCGGGGCTCTGAGATGGAGCCCCCCATCCAGACAGTGTCCCTTCCTCTCCCAGTACCTCTCCCCACCCCCACCTCCCCAAGCCTCTTCCAGTTGGGGAGGTCCTTACTGGGGCCCCTCTCCGTAGTGACAGCCACGAGGACGCTGGAACTCTGGATTTCAGCTCGCTGCTGAAGAAGAGGTGAGTCCCTGGGTAGCAGCTCCTGGGCAGAGGGTGAGGCCCCATTTCAAATCCCAGCAATGCGGTTTTCCGGCTGTGTGGCCCTGAGCTGGTTACTGTACCTCTCTAAACCAATTTCCCTGTCTGTCAGATGGGATAATCCTAGGGGTGCCTGGGTGGCTCAGTCAGTAAAGTGGTGACTTCGGCTCAGGTCACGATCTCACTGTTCGTGGGTTCGAGCCCTGCATCGGGCTCTGTGCTGATGGCTCAGATCCTGGAGCCTACTTCGGATTCTGTGTCTCCTCTCTCTGTCCCTCTTCCCCTTGTGCTCTGTCTCACTCTGTATCTCAAAAATAAATAAGCATTAAAAAAAAATTGGATAATCCTGGTGTTGGGAAGAGTCAGAGGGCTCTGCAGACATGATATCTTGTGAACTAACATCCTCCCAGGGCCCCCCACGACCCCTGACGCTTGAGTCCATGAGAGCTTGCCTCAGTAGACTCCAGGGACTCACAAGAAGCTGGGAGGGGGCGCCAAGCTGCAGGGATTTCTCCCCCAGCCCCTCTAGCTGACTCTGTCCTCTCCCTCTCTCTCCTGGACCCTGCGTTGTGGCTGATGCTGCCGCGGCCTAGAGAGTAAGCATCGGGGGCCGGTGTTTGGGGGCAACAGGGTGTTGGTGGGACTCTGTACCCTGGTGACAGACAGGGCTGGGAATCGGACAGACCTGAGTGTGGATCCCCACTGCCTGGGGCGTCTCTGAGTTTTGGTTCTCCAGATACTCACCTGCCAGAGCTCAGGAGGAACAAACAAGGCCCTGTGTGGGGAAGGCCCTGCTGTGTAAATGGAGGGACACTGGTGTGGGGAGAAGGGAGGGGTGAAGGCCCACGGGCTGTGGCCCCAGGGCCTTTGTGGGCAGGTGGCCCATGCCTCTAATGGTCCACTGCCTTTTTGTCCTGCCCGGAGCAGCAGTTTCCGGAACCTAAGGTGAGTGCGTGATGAAGCCTGCGCCCCCGTCACCCCCACTTCCACCAGGACTCCCCCATACTGAACTCGAGGTCCAAAGCCAGCCCAAGCGGCACCACCAGAGGGGTCCTGGGCCCCAGGAAGCCTCACCCCAGGGGAGGGCGGGGGGCAACAGTCCTGCCTGCCCCCCCCCCCCCCCC